ACTAATTACTATTTAAATTGCTCTTTCATTCAGGTTTATGTGTTGAAGTTCATCCGGTGGTTGACTTGTATAAAGTTTAATTTATAACAGAAAGGTTGAAACTTTTTTAATGCATAGACAATATTTTTTTGACATACTTAATTATTTTAAATGATACATATTGTTTATACTGACATGTTCATATTGACATTTGGCATATATCCAAATTTTATTCAGATCTGCTTAAATGTCTCGTAGTAGTGTACGTTTATGTATTTATTGATAATTTTTATTGATACTATATATAAATTATATATATTTTTATTTAAGAAATTTGAATATTTCCTAAGACCATTGATGATGAGTACTTGGTAATACGTGAAACAGAGTTGCATGGTCAGCCAAATTTCAAAAAATTAAATAAATTTTTGTCCTTGTCTATTCTTAGCTATTCGAATCCGTCTAACTTTTAATTAGTTTCTTTTCGTCATAAAGATGCGTCATTCTCGGCGAGAAAAAATTAACACACGAAAATTTTTATTGAGATTTTTATTGACATTCTACCTTCTGCTCAAAAAGTATCCGGATTTTGTTGTTTGTTAACTTGTTTTCAAAAAATTTTTTTTTGTTATGTTGGTACACTCTTTCTTCACATATGGTACAAATTTGAGCGCCATCTGTCAATAAGTTTGTTTACAGCAGCTGTTAATGTGAGACTACCTCAAGTGCATTTAGCGATTTTTAATATGGAAAATTCTTGTTCTACGCGATTTTTTAACCAAACACGGCTGTCAACACCACTATCATCGCTTAGGTATCATATTCGCCAGATCTGGATCCGTGTGACTTTTTCCAGTTCCCGAAACTCAAATTGCTCCTTCGTGGTAAGCGTTTTGAAATTGAAAGCCATAAGCGTTGGCATATGTGTATCGCTTCAGAAGGAGCATATTTTGAAGGAGATAAAATAAATTTGAAATTAAATTTAAATTTGTGTGTTTTATTTACAAAATCCGAGTACTTTTTGAGCAGAAGGTAGCATTACATTTAATATAACTTTAATAGAAATAACCTTCTGGTGCTTTAAATTATAAAAATATTTTATACTTAATACCCTGTTAAAAGATTATAATAATTTAATTAAAACATTTTATTACAGAAACAGCAAACTGATGTTTTTTCATTAATGCAACCAAAAGTCAAATTAACCTCATTACCTTCAAAATAAAGGTCCCAAATGCCAGTGTGAATAATAAAAAATTAGTAATAAAAAGCGAACGTGTTGCGATTACAAATATCGCAGTTAAAAGTTTATAATATGTGCAATTATTCAATTGTGCTGAAGAAATGCACTATCGGAATTTATTAAACAGGACACACACTCCAACTCCCCTAGCTAATAAAATGGAAATTTGTAAGTGCTTATGGCTGAAAATCACAGCATGCATTTGGGCGTTTTATGTAATCTATGTAATCTAGTACAGATTTTAAATGCAATTGTAACCGTAAAATCGAGTTCATATATGTATACGGCAGTCTGTAGTCGGTGGCATTGCATTTTTATGGAATTAAAGCAGCGGGGCTAAATATTTTTAAAGCAAGTATGCATGTTAGCAATTAAAATACAAACTGCACAATTCCAAAATATACTATATTTTGATATTTTTTACATATGGTTTTGTTTTTTTTTTGTTTTGTAGTTTTGTTGTTTTTTTGTCATTTTAACAAAAACACTGAAATTTATTTGCAAAAATTGGTAATTTTCACATTTGTTGCGTTTAAAAATGTTATTAAACATATGTATGTATGTATGTATGTCATACAAATGCAAAAACAAACAAACAAACAAACCAACATACCATATTCTTATTTGCACGAATATGAATATCTGCAAGTATGAACAAGTGTATGCATGTAGCTACACGTTGTCACCAGGATTTTGTGCTGCGGCTACAGTTCGAGTTCGCTGGCGGATATGCTTTCGTGTACATAAAAAAATATCAAAATATTTACATAAAAATGAACTTAAAAGTACTATAAATCCGTTTTTTACCATTGTAGTATTGTGTGATTTTTATACTTTTGTTGTATTTTTTGTATTTTTCATGTTACACAAATTTTTTTTATTTTTTTATTATCTCTGAATTGACACAAGCCTGCAGGACGGCGCATTTCATGCAAAACGCCACAAAAAAGTATCTGAAGCTTGAACGCTACCACTACATAAAGAAACTTCTAATACTTCTAATTTCTTCACTTATGCATATGTACTTTTTCATATTTTTCATTAGCTATTTATGCTTACATTAAAAATAATAAAAAGGTAAGTCATTTAAAAGCCAACTTAATAATTAGAAACAAAGTCATTACCGGTATTTACTAAACTAATTAATCCATGCCGTATCGATCAAAAGTCAAAAGTAGGGAGCTACTTAATCTGCACAGAAGTAGCATCCGACATCCATCCACAAGGTTTCTCACTGGGCACTGCGGAGTTAAAAAGCATCTATCGAACCTTGGAATTACTAGAGACGATAGCTGCACACCATGTTGCGAAGAAGAGGAAACAGAAGAACACATTCTGTGTCACTGTGATAGTCTCGCCAGGCTCAGACTTCGGTACTTATCAACTGCCTATACACTTATAACGGAATTAGGCAACATCTCTTCAAAGTACATAATGACGTTCTTAACTGCTACTCGTCTATGGAACTGAAATGGGTATGTCACAATAGTCCTCAATGGATGCAGTGACGTGGTGACAAGTTCCCAACCCATCTTAAAATCTAAACTTATCTAAACTAAGTAAATCTTACACTCAATTATCATACACAACAATTAAACCTCTTCATTCCAACATAGTGTGACAGTGTGACAGAACTAAAACTATGATAAAATAGAGTAATTCCCCAATAACGCGGTAGATTGTTTCCGCGTTATAGCAAAACGCGTTATACGGATATTCCCGTCTACAAACGTACAAAGGTACGCGAAGCTAATTATGTACTATACAAATCCCCGCGTTATATGAGGGAATGCCTATGTTATACGGGGGATTGAAATCGCGTTATAGAGGGCATTACTGTAATCAAATAAAATTTTCCTTACATATAAGAAGGTTAACAGAAGGACATATAAGAACTATTGTTCGGTATTCCGGTATTCGAAGAATGATGCTGAGACGCAATTTATAAAAAACTAGCCACTACTGTATCTGTCGTATAATTTACTGCCAATAGTGTAAATGCAGACCGTCATAGCAGATATTACTCAATATAGAGCGCAGCTATCGTTCACTCTAGCAATTCGCTGATGTGCTGCTCTGCGACTTCGCGCCTCATTGATGGAAAGAGGTTATAGTCAATTTGCGCCAAGTCTGAAAAGTACGGCGGATGCGGAAGGATGTCCCATTTCAAAATGTCTTTCACTGGTTTTGATGTATGAAGGTGTGCATTCTCATATAGTAAAATCACTTTACCATGTCTTATTGTCCACGAAAGACGACCAAAAGTCTTTCGATCCATTACTGATCTAAATTAATCTTTTATTGGCGTAAGCGTTGCAAAGTAATGGTTTCGCTACAGTTTATAACACACAACACAGTTTTGTTTGAAGTGTTAAGAACTAGCTTCGTCAGGTAAAAGTTCGGGTTTTTTTCGCTTCGGGTTTTGAAAATAAATCCATTTTTCATGGCTTATCAGAAATCGATACAAAAATGATTTTTTTTTCGTGACGTTGAAGGAGCATTTCACAAGGAGCTTTACAATTTTCCATTTAGCGTTTAATCATATTGTGCTGAACCGATTTACCCAGTTTATTGATCTTCTGCATTGCTCGTAAACATCAGCGAATTCAGTTGAATGAATGAGTTTGACTTGGGTCATCACTCAATAACTCTTGCAGCTGCTAACTTTCACACTTTTGTAGTCTACCAGGGCTCTCACTCTCTTTCACATAGAAATTGAAATTTCCACTTTTAAATTGTGGTTCCGATGTCATGCGTGTTCTAATCTATGAAGCGTAAACACCATATATTTCTACAAGCAAACGATGACTTTCAACTTTTTTTTTCTATGTGCCGCAAATGTTTTTTTCAGGTACAAAAGTTTTTGGTCGACTTAACATATTTGCTTTGTAGTTTAATGTAAGATGAAGATATTGACGTAGGAGTCAAATTAATTGCGCTGGCGCCATCTAGTATTTAGTAGTACTAGGTATATTCTGGAACATATATGAATAATATTATATATACATTGAAAAACCAAAAAATTTTTCTAAAAGAAACATGGTCAAAAACCGTCGTTTTATTTGGGAGCTATAAAACGTACCGGAAAACAACTTTTTCTGACACAATTCTGTGATTGAATTGGTATAGCAACCATTTAAGCTATATTTGAACCGATATGAGTAAACCGATACGCGTTTTCCTATCTACCGCGTTATAGGGGGATTACTGTACAGTTAATTTTTATTAACTCATAAAAATTGGAACTAATATATCTAACTGGTTTTATCAATAAAATACTTTTTAGGATATTAATTTAAAATTCGGAATTATCATATGTTAAGAAACAACTGTATGATCTAATTTTGATTAGTTATAATAATAGGTGTGAACGATTAGTGTGAACCACTATCATCTGTAGTGGTTAAAAATACTTTGGCAAATAGGATCAACTAGGACACTTTGTTTTTGCTTATTACTATAACTTATATTTTCTAATCAGAGAATACTTGCGGAATTATATTACTCATTTTTAAAGTTTTCAGATTTTTTTATATCTCGTGTGTCTTTACTACTAAGTTAGGCCTGTGCATTAGGCCTTTACGGCTGAACGACTGAAATCCGTTTATTGGCATTTATAAGTCGTAGTTTAAGTAGGTTCCAATCTCGTACTGCTGCTTCAATATGTTAAATCTAACAAGAATTTATTGTTTTGTTTGATTATTTGCTTTGAAATACCAATCAAAATTTTTTAACTTCAATGTTAAAAAAAATTTATTAAAACTTATTTATGTAAAAAATGTACGTGTAACAAAATTCTATCCGGCAAATAAATTTCTTTTTCAAACCGCAAAAATTTAACCACCTCAAAATTTCCGTAACTAAATTATATAGTAAGCGAAGATGTTGCAGTTTATTGTTCAACACTTCGCCACAAATTTCTATTCAAAAGTGGGTTTCTATGTCATTGGCAGTGTGATCGGATCTTTGTGGTATCATAATCCCATTAAACTAAAATGGTATTACTATAGCAATAGTCTAACATCTAGCGTGAGTCCTGTGCTTAATATTGAAATCAGTCAATCATTTATGGTAGGGATTGCACTTATGTTTGGTGAGTGCGCGCTATTAGGCTATATAATGCACAGTAATGCAGTTCGCGATGTCAAGAACCAGTTGTGTGAAAGAATTGAGAAAGTAATCAGAAAACCTAAAGACATGGATAACATAAGAAAGATTATCGAAGACGAAACCGGTAAACTAACCATTGACATCGTTGATGAATCTTCTGCAGAAATCAGTGACGATGAATCTCTTCTGAGCACTTCCACTGATTCAACTATATACGAGAAATCAAAACAATATGATCAAACAAAGGAGCTAATGACTGTCTATAGTGCAGTGGAATATGATAATGATAGTTCTGAGGATGATTTAACAACAAGGGACACAAGACCGCAATCAGATATTAAGCTAATAGTAAAAGAACCAAGCCGCATTCGTATTCTAAGACCATTTAGTACCGACAAAATAGTAGTGAATACTGATGAAGAGAAAAAAACGGAAGACGTTTCAAACAACGATGTTAACTCTCCTTTTACTACCAAGGTAAACGCTGTTTATTTATCTGCATTTGGTGTTAATAATAATACCGATTCCGAATTGTAATCACTTTTTGCAGGTACATAACAATTTAAACATATCTTTTAGCAATACATATTTTAGTAGCAGTTTTATTCGTTGCAGACAATAAGTAACACAACTTTAAACTTAACCAAAAATCTTGCGGAAAAGTAAAGGTAATATATGTTTATTCTGCTGCAATTTCACTCTATACAATCTTTAAAAAAATAATATCAAAAAAGTCACAAAGAAAGGCTAGACTAGCTTTAATATGATTTCTTGAAATAAAAAGCAAAATATAATGAAGTACAATATATATTGACAGAAAGATCACGATAGTCAGAGTTTTAGAGAAGTTCAAATATTTAAACAAAGAGATAAGAAACTTATTGAGTAATAGACTTGAAAGAGGAACTAGAAATGTCCGGCTGGGGCAACGATTAACTAAGAAATGAGATGGATGCATATGGCTTAAAAGATTAAGAGAAAAGTGTATGGTAAGAATATATAGCTACGTAACAGTAAGGTTGGTTTCTTGTTTACAGGCACAATTCAGCTTGAAAAACTATAGAAATGCCTTAATAAGTACAGATTTAAGCAGAGATTTTTCCAATTAAATTTGGTAAGACTAAAGTTACATCCACAAAAAAGGAACAATGGAAGAAATTGATATACGTATATCATATATACTTTAAAAAAAATTCTTCAAGAAATAAAAATGTTTCTTATATCTTTTCTATTTAGATTAAAAGGGTAAAAAGTATAGAGAATCACATAGAACACAACACAAGAGAAACAGTGTGGAACCGTATATATATATATACATATACAGACAGAACAGTTTCTTGGAATATCTCAAAGTTAGGATTTAATTCCCCATTTGAAACGTCCACCTAAAAACTGTTCGTCAGAAAATTCATTATATGCCAAAAATATTTCTTTCGTGTTTTTTTTAATATATGTTAAATGGATGTTTTGATCATCTATTTAAATGTATTCAGAAATGCTTTAAAAGGTTCAAATTTGACTGAAAAATTTTCTATATACTTTATGCAACTCCTAATTTATTCTAAAATTTTTGTTAATTTTTTTTTTCCTTGATTTTATCAATTCTTTATTGTCTTAAATACTTTTATCTTGCGAGGTTTTTTTACTATCACGCAAAGTTTTCCTGCAATCATCCTTTAAAGCAGGGCCGTTCAAGGTGCGGCATATTATCTCTTGGTGTACTGGTAAAACTATATTATTTTATTTTATTGGTATGCCAAAAAAATGAATGAAAATTATTAAATGTATAAAACTAAATTGAACATTATAACCGTATTTTTATTTTTCTCCGGAATAATTATGAATGTATGTATTTGTTCCTGTGACCCTCCAATCTGTACAGTGATTTGTATTAGCCCGAGATGGTATCTATTTTATACAGCCCTGCTTAAAAGCAAACTGCTTACTTCTTTTTTCATTAAAAGTTCACAAATATATTGATTTATAAATATACGATTCTATACATTTTTGGTGAAAAAAGGTAAGTGTAAATCGGTCACTTTAGATGTTGATTATGTGAAAACTACTTTTGAACTACATTTAGGGTATTGGGGATTCTTTGGCTATAGTTTTGCGTTCAGTAAACTTTTCTTTTATACTTTTATACTTTTCTTTTAGGAAACATTATAGGAACATTTTTTTGTTATATGTTAAATATAAAATTATGCGAATGTGCCAATATTAATCAATTTTATACAATAATTTTACCTAAAACATGTGTTCTCTTCGTTAGGAATGGTACGCTTTTGTTGCTTTTTAAGGAATTATTGCTGTTACTAATAATTTAAAAATATGTATTATAACTGTTATTAATAATTTAAAAATTTATTTTATAATTTTAATTTTATATCAAGATATTACTTTATAATTTTAATAGCTCTTCCCGATGTTAAGTAATGAACATAATAAAAGAATAAAGCACACAAAGAGAATTATTCATCACATATCCGTTTAAAAGGTATTCAAAAGTTATATTAAAATATTGATTTTTCACATTAGTATTGCTGATATCTTCTCCTTCCTTTTCAGTACAAATGGACAGAAATGAATAGATTAAGAAAAATATGCAATTACCTACATCTTTTGCTAACTAGACTCTGAATCGCGTTTGGAGGTTAAATCGCAGATGACCCAGAAAATCAGGTAGGTAGTAATATTAAATTTATCTAAAAAAAAATAAAAACTTGACTTGAGTGACATACTTAGAACTCATTTTTTGTACAGTTATCAAATAAGGGACAAAAACTGAATCTCCCATTTTGAGTCTTGAAAAATGAGTGGTGTATTGTGTATTTTACCTGAAGATTTTGGATGATACTACTTTACTATATCCTTAGTGATAAAGTAAATTATTAAATAAAAATAAAACGACTTCAGCAAATTTTCTATGAGCATCGATATTACATACTCCAACTCCTGTTGAAAACATAACCAGTATGATGCAAAAAACAGTGGTGATTTGACTGGAACTGGAGTCTTAAACATAAAGAATAAAAAAAAAATGATGGGCACTACATTATTACAATTATTCAGTTCCAAAACGATTTTTAATGATATTACAATATCTTTAATTGCCTTTCCTGTGAAGTGTTGAATAGAAATGAAATCGACTTTCCCACTGCTCTCTAATGAATAATAAACCAAAGAATGGCAATATTTATTGAAAAGAAAATCACAATAGTGGAAAAAATCACAGTGAATGAAGTGGTAATTCAAAATGTGTCTTACTATATAATTTTCACTAATCTATCTTTTAAAGTAGTGAGTATTGTGTAGAAAAAAATCAACTTTAGCGCTACTCTATGGAACTAATTTGTATGCCAATTTGTATTAAAACCACAACCACTTTGGTGCGAAATACCCTGGTGGATGAAGGAGACCTGAAATCTGCCTTATTTAAACTGCAACATCAAACGTTTTACTTATAATTTATTTACATAAAATAAATTTATTGCATTCGGAAAGAAAAAAATACAAATAGTTTTTTTCTTAATACTTAAAACAAAACAAGAAAAAAACGTTGGCTTATATTACATATATCCTTATATTATATATTATGATTATATTATAAAAATCATATTGTCAATATTTTCATGCACAATTCATTTTAAGAGCTTTAACTAGAGATGAAGAAGTTTAGTGCAAATAAAGGATACACTACTTAATTTAATTGAATTATTATTATTGTTATTAGGTTAGGTGTATTCAAGCCACCATCTAAAAATCTATTGGGTTCTCTTCACGAATTCCGAGTACATCTCTAAGCGAAATTTATTCAATAAATTGTACTATCGAATTTTGAAATTTCTACATCTGATGTAAGATGTGAATCTTATATCACCAACTTTCCGTTTAAATATTAAATTTCCATTTAAATATGACATAGAACGCATTTATTGTGTAATATATTTTATAGCAAAACAAATTATTATATTTTTTTTAATATTTAAATTAAGTATTTTTTTAATAACATTTCATTTACTTATTGAATATGTCCACTTTAGTTACTTTAGGTGTAACTGCAATTTTATTTTACAATTAAATTGATTGACCGCGATTGATACTTGCAGTATTAAAAATTAAACTAACCTCAGGGAGTTTAAAACAATTGACTTAATTGCTGCGTGCTGGAAAAGAAGTGCAACGGCTCCTGTTACTAAAAGCAGGCAAATATTTTTTTCAGATACTCACATTCCAGCACTCGTAAAAAATACAGACATATTACTCTTTTCCGTTGGTAGTAATCCTTTTGTAATTACAAATCCCTTATGCAGCTGAAAATTTACTAAGAATCATAACAAAAAAAAATATATAAATAAAGTATCAAACTTCAAAGTTGGTTGCATTGCATGCAGCAATAATTGGAAGAAATGAATACAGTTGAGTATTTTACTCACTGTTACCTTCAAAGTGCATTAAGTACAAAAATTATCATTTAATAAATTTTTAATTAATCTCAGTCCAGATCTTTACTTAGACTAAGATATTTGCTTTTGAGTTTTCATATTGACACCAACGAGTTAGTGACTTTTAAAATCGGTCCATGGCCGGTTCTTGTATTCTTGAAGTAACATCACCTAAAATAATTTTTTTATTTTTTTTTTTCAATTTGTATATTTACAATCTGTCTTAAATACGACAGTAAGCAAAATTATTTCATAAAATATAAAAGTAACACGAATAGAGTGTTTCCAATAAACCTACTATTATATATTTTGCTTATGCTATATGGTATAGTACAATTTATTTAATAGGCAAACCTATCAGGTAGATCAAGAACATGAACTCCTTTAAGTCCTCTTAAACTATTAACTGTAAAATTAAAGGCTAAAGTATTTACGTGATTGTGAAGTCTATAAATGTATCTAATGGCGCATATTTCATTTTTTACTAAAGGGTTTTTTTCGTACAGTAGTTAACTACAACAACAAAATTTTTTATTTTTTAGATTATTTTAATTAATTGAGTTTTTGGCTGACCACACAGCTGTTTCGAGTATTGCCAAATACCCATCATCAGTGGTCTTGGAAATAATTTTTGTATTTAATTATTCGTAAATAATTATTTTTGAGACTGCAAGTACCAAGATTCGAACTCGGGTCCATCTTTTACTAAAGGAATTTTGAGATCCTTGTGTAAATTTGCGTTCGCTATGTAAAATCGAGCATTAACACTACGTCGCAATATTTTAGATTAGTAACGCTGAAGTATCTCTAGCGGTACCCCACAATTGTGTAGCATAGGTCCCCACAGGTTTTAATATGGCTTCGTGAAGATGGATTTTGTTTTCAAGTCTGGTTTGAGATTTTCACCCTAGCAACCGGAGCATTTGTTTTGTTTTTAAATTGAATTGTTGTCTTTTTGATTTTATATGACTCTTCCATGTCAATCGATGGCCGAGATGCAAGCTAAGATGGTTCACGGAGTTGCTATGAGGAATCACAGAACCGTTAAATGAAACTTGAGGACAAAAATACTTTTAGTAAAAACACATTTTACATGCTTAATAAGCATAATTTAAAAATTAATTTATCGAAGTTAGCTTTAAAAGCCTCAATTCTAAAAAATGTCGTTCTCAGTCTTTAATAACTTTATCTGATAGTTATTCAAACATCTGCACATTAAAAGCTATTCCCTTTCATGGATTGAAAATTTCTCGTAAATAATAATGCTTGCCATGAACACATCGCGTTAATAATTGTAATAAGATTATAAGGAAAACATAAGTTAATAAAAAATAATACAGAGACACTCTATTCATATTTTATATTATTTGGTACAAATGTCAGGAAAAAACATGATGAATATGAATAAGTTTAAATGTTCCGCTGTTCTTATTTTTATGAGATTTTTATTTAATAGGTATATGCCTTTCCGTTCTCTTTGACGACCATTAAAACCATATTAAACTATTAATTAAACATAAACATTGTGATTAATTGTTAAAACATATATTAATCTGTGAAAATGTTCTTGAAAATATGTATATATAAACGTTACTTTCATCTTAGATAGCTGCAGTGACATAAAAGTAATATCATATTATATGCAATATATTTGATTAAATCTTTAATTAAAATTTTTGAAAGAAATTGCAGCTTTCACTTGCAACAATACCAAATAGCATAAAATACTACAAAGCATAAAATACCAGAGGAGCACGGCATTACCGAAGACCGCACGACGTAACTTGTTGTACAATAAGCGTCGATATATTCCTCTCAGGTAAACGCCACTCCAGTTGGGAGAATCACTGCTTTTGACAAAATCTCAGGCAGAAAGTGAAGAACAAAAAACATTCGTAGACCTAACACGTTCTCTGTACATAGCACAACGGCACATAAGAATCTGTGAATAAGAATTTTCTAAAAAGTGAACAAGAATCCAAGGGAACCTATGAAGTATTTTTCACGCAACAAATAAGTTAAGGTTGCCCATCATATGCCTGCGGGCCCTGCACTTACATTGGATTTGTTCAAACGTTAAAAAACAAGAATTAAAGCTCAATTTTTTTTAAACATTTTTTTCGTATGTAAATACATTTATAAACCGCCGTGTTTATTTGGCATAAGTCAGGAAGACTTGCCATATGCCGGTATGTAATATAATGTCCTTCAATGAAGTGCATATATAAGTTAATATTTTATATTATAGAAGGGTTTTCGAATAACAAAGAAAGAAATAAAGGACAAACACAAAAATTTATTTTTTAATTTTATTGAAATTTGGCTGACCATACAACGCTGTTTCGAGTATTGCCAAGTACTCTTCATCAGTGGTCTTTTGGGAATATCGGAATTTTATTTAATTAGTTTATAGTCCGTATATAATTTGTTTGAACTGCAAGTGCCAGGCTTAGAACTCGTGCCTGTCAAATTAGAAGCGATGACTAATCGTGTTTATCCACAAGAAGCCAAGGCTGCACAAACTTTCAATGCTTAAGTTCCAGGTTTTATTGTCACTTATTTTTATTTAATTAGTGACACCAACCAAAGCACTTGCAGTGCTTTAAATTAGAACGAGCTTATAAACTACAGCTTTATTTTGGAAACACAAGTTCAACGAATTGAAAGTTAACTTTTGGGTTCGCCTATTCTTTATTTTTTCAAAGCTACTCTTTTTGTAGAGACATTTTGTACTGCATATTGTTTTACTTACTATATGTAAAGCGACCATTCTGGTGCTTTTTACAAAGAAGCTATGCTATGTTATTCTACAAACCCCCTTTCGCGGTTTAGGAAAGGCTGAACAATATTATATTTTAACATATTGTTCTTATTTTTCACAAGTCTAATTTTTGAATAAAGTATTTGTGTTGCTGTAAAGCTAGACTTTCTTTGTATAGGGACAAAGAAGCTTTATTAAAATTTAGAGGGGTTTTTGAATAGCAAAGAAAGAAATAAAGGACAAACACAAAAATGTGTTGGTGTCAAGTGCTTTGGTTGGTGTCACTAATTAAATAAAAATAAGTGACAATAAAACCTGGAACTTGAGCATTGAAAGTTTGTGCAGCCTTGGCTTCTTGTGGATAAACACGATTAGTCATCGCTTCTAATTTAACAGGCACAAGTTCTAAGCCTGGCACTTGCAGTCCAAACAAAATTATATACGGACTATAAACTAATTAAATAAAAATTCGATTATTCCAAAGACCACTGATGAAGAGTACTTGGCAATACTCGAAACAGCGTTGTATGGTCAGCCAAACTTCAATAAAATTAAAATAAATTTTTGTGTTTGTCCTTTATTTCTTTCTTTGCTATTCAAAAACCCCTCTAAATTTTAATAAAGCTTCTTTGTCCCTATACAAAGAAAGTCTAGCTTTACAGCAACACAAATACTTTATTCAAAAATTAGACTTGTGAAAAATAAGAACAATATGTTAAAATATAATATTGTTCAGCTTTTCCTAAACCGCGAAAGCGGGTTTGTAGAATAACATAGCATAGCTTCTTTGTAAAAAGCACCAGAATGGTCGCTTTACATATAGTAAGTAAAACAATATGCATTACAAAATGTCTCTTCACAAAGAGTAGCTTTGAAAGAAATAAAGAATAGGCAAAAACCCAAGTTAAACTTTCAATTCGTTGAACTTTGTTTCCAAAAAAAAAGTTGGTAGTTTATAAGCTCGTTCTAATTTTAAAGCACGGCAAGTGCTTGGTTGTTGTCACTAATTAAATAAAAATAAGTGACAATAAACCTGGAACTTGAGTATTTGAAAGTTTGTGCAGCCTTGGCTTCTTGTGGATAAACACGATTAGTCATCGCTTCTAAT